AAGGAGAGAGGCACCATCCCAAAGGCAGGGGATGGTGTTGCGTCTGCGACGCCCGTTGGCGATCGCCTGGAAGTAAGCCGTATTCGCGTCACCCTTCAAGACCCAACGCTGAGCGCCCCGGATACGCCAATAGGCCTCCTCATCAACGCGTCACCCTGAATGCTATAGTCAACCGCGACAACCAGCTCTGAATGCTACGTTAAAAAGAATGAATAAGCCAACACGACCGGCAGGTCTAATCGTACTCCCAAGTGTATTTGTTTCCACATTGGCACAATGTATAAATTTCATCAACAAACAAAAAATGCACAACTGTTAGATACATAATCAATCGTCTGTCACCTCGCCACAAAGACACAGCTGCACGGTACAATAGATTTTCAACAACTAAAAAATCTCAAACGAATTAGCGAGGCGTGGCACGCCGGGCAATCTATATTGATATGTATCATATGGATCTCTTATGTAGCCGCCGGGCAATCTATATTGCTATGTATCATTTAGATCTCTTATGTAGATGAACCGTTTTCTTGTATGCACTACTTTGTGACGATCACCCAACTAAATGTACATGAATTATTTTTTCAAAAAAAAATCTTGTGACCACTCACCAAATATTAAAAAAAATACCAAAATAGCTAATTAGTCCATGTGGCGCGGCGTGCCGCCGCGCACTACCCGCTAGTATTTCTTTACGGAGGGAGTACTTTCCGGCTGTTCCTTTTGCCCCAGAGCATGTGCGTGACATCGAACTCAGCGACGTCCTCTCCTTGACCACGATCACGTTTGTCCCTTTGCATCATTATTTTCTTCTCCGCATTCTCCTGCCGTAGGAACATGCACGCTGCTAGACATGAGAGAAACGAAATGCATAACCACACCAAGCTGGACGCCCCCAAACAATCAGGGACGTCCATGTGCAGTAAGATTCATACTTTAAACTAGAAGGGCAGTGCATGCTTTGTTGCGCCGCTTATGTTCTTAGGGTTGTACATGTGTTTGTTTTACGTGATAATTTTTTTTAGTTGTGAAAATTATTTACGTGCTAGTTGGTTTGGCGTGTGGGGGAAACAATAGAGTGTTTTTTTTATCAAAAGATGCCACACCTATGAACAGACTTTACAGAATCTTGGTTACAGATGAATGTGTCAATTTATGGTTGAAAACTAGGAAAAGAGTGGCCCAACGGTGAAAATCTGGGAAGTGAAAGAGTGGCCCAACGGTGAAAATCTGGGAAGTGATTGGTGGGAGAATGTTTGCTATGACCGATCCATAGTGAATCGTCTGTAAGTGTATCACTTTTCATTTTTGTTGTTGTGATGTTTGGGTGGGTTTTTTTGACCGTGTGACTGAAGGGCGTCTTTTAGTGAAGTTAGAGACTTTATTGGGCCACAACTAAGGATTGACCGAGTCAAGTCAAGGATTAAAAAGATCATTTGTGATGTGGGGTCTCACAATGCAAATGAGTGTTCTAGGGCAACATTGTTCCATGTGCTACACATCACAGAAGCAGTACCATTACAGCCTAGCACTTCACAAACGGGACCGCATGGGCCTTCATGTATGATAAGCATATCACACACATTTTGGTTCAACCGTGTGATGAAGGGTGTTAATATGCATGTTCAACAATACCGATAAGGAGGAGAAAGATGAAGAGGCGATGTAGAAGAAATAATTGATCGAGTCAGCGCACCAATGATGTGACGAGAATTGTTTCCCTTCTTCTTAAGTCCTATATTAGTCCATTTAATAACAATACCTACACCAAAGAGTAGATTTTGTGCAACCCATATTATCTTGTGAAATAATCCATAGATCTCAGTAATGTTATGTCATGTCTACTTGCAAATATGTATATATCCTAAGATATGATCATTTTCCTGTGAGAAAACTTTCAATCTATTCATCAATTGTCATGGCAATACAAAAAACACTAGAAATAATAAAATTACATCTAGATAAATTGACCACCTAGCGACGACTAGAAACACTGGATCTCCATCATTGCCCCTCCTTCACCGGAGTTGGACAAAACTCGTTGTAGTAGACAGTCGGAAAGTTGTTGTGCCAAGGCCCCACGGGACCAGCGCATCAGAACAACAACCATCGCCGATGAAGAGAAGCATAGATCAGAAGAATCCAACCTATAGACACATGAACGTAGACGCACCAAGACTTGATCCAAGAAGATGCACCCAAGACCAACATCGACCGAATCCCACGAGATCTGCTGGAGACACACCTTCACACGTCTTTCGACGACGTTGTATGCACCGCCGATACGGGGAATGGGCGCGGGTCGGGGAGGACCTTATTCCAACTAAAGGGAGTCGTCGTCAGCTCGCCTCCTTGAGTAGGACAAAAACCCTTATCAACCGTAAAAAAAGACCTAAAATGGAGCAGGAGCCCTCCCACCGTCGAGGGCTGAAGTCCACCGTACCTCCATGGCCCTAAGGCCACCGGAGAAAAGGCGGATCAGCGGCCGCACTGGCGGGAGGCGACAAGACCCCTGCCCTGGGAGGAGTTTCTCGTGAGGAGAGCTAGATTCGATCTGCCTATCTAAGATATGATCATCGATGTCCTAGATAAAAATAAAGACAAGATTCGAATGAATGGTGCGAGTTAAATAGCATGGAGATGATCTATATCTTTTTCTGTATAGGTCAAAATAAGTCATACTTTGCTACGAGTTTTTGCATATACACACACAAGATGAATTAGATCCGTAGATTATTTCATAGAATTTCAAAAACACCAAAAATGTAAAGAGAAGAGGACGAATACGGATTGTACAAGTAGCTAGTTGCTAGAAATTACTCTGTTTGCTCCACAGTATGCGAATATGTCTAAGCCTAAGTGGTTGCGTGCGCAACTTGAATCGTCTCCGTCGCTGCATCATGTGGATCCGCACGAGCGTGCCCCACCTGGTCCCACCCAACAACCCATATCCTTATTTTCTCAGCGCTATACGCGGCACGGCGGCAGGAATACAGGTCACATCGTATCTCTCTCGTTCGGCCGTTCCCCACACCTCATTCCTTCTCTCTCTCGTTCCCCATCCTGTGTCTGTCGAATCCGGCTCGTCGGCGGCTCCCTCCTCCCTCGCCATGGCCACGCATCGCCGGGTTACTCCTCCTCCATGGCCCCCTTCCCTCTCCTGAGACGTGCTTCTCACGGGTAGTCGATTGTCCTCCGCCCACGCCCTACTGCCTCTTTCGCCAGATCCGCCATCGAGGTAAGATGGAGCAGCATGGCTGCATCATCGCCATGGTGGGGTGGGGGGTGGGGGGTGGTGAGAGGATGTTGGGCATCAACGAACCACGAGCAGCATCATCACCACCGCGAGCAGCTCGGTTGTGGCCAGATCTAGAGTCCAGCGGCTTGGCAGCAAGGCATAGTGAGGAGTCTAGAGCTCCTCCTCATCTTCCCCGTCGTCTTCCTTGAAAAGTTTAGGTAGCAGTAATTCCTCTCCTTGTTTTTTCTTAAACAAGATTTTTATTCTTTTCTCAATCTTTTAAGATGCATCTGGGTTCGCGTGCGATAGTGGCTTCTATCCGATGTATTTTTCATCCAGCAAGTTCTTCTATTTCCTCTCCTGCAGTTTTGGGATAGAAGACTGCACCTGTTTTGTCCCTCTCCATACTCAGGAAAAATTTTATTGATCTGAATGTGTATCTTGTAATCGTTACCTGAACTTTAGTGGAAGAAACGAGGACCTTTTTCTACTACTATCTCTGAACTGTTTGGTCACTGTAATTATTATTGCCTTAGTTTTGTACATGAAACATAATAATTTAGTTTGCAAATATTTCTCAAGAATCATACTAACAATACATGAATATTTTCAGAAGAACTTTATCAAAAAATCCGAAGGACTTAATAAAAATTGAATCAAATAGCATATTTGTACTGAACTTTATGAAAGAAACTCGAAGGACTTTCTAAGATATGAAGAACTTATCTCATTAATTTTAGAAAGTTCTTTAATTGTCTAAGTCAAGTTCTTGGACGGTCAACATAAAGTTCTTTATTGCTCAGTTGAAGATTTTTATTGAATAGGAGGTGACTTTGTTAACACGGTATCCGAACTTTGCCATAAAAATCAAAAGAACTTTACAGAAAACTTTGCCATGGCTAATAATTACTTTGTATTTTACTAAGTTCTGTGGGATTTCAAATAGAGTTCTCGACACCCATCTAAAAATTTCCTTGTTATTATCCAGTAACTAATTTCATTGGTTTTTTTTGACAATAAGTTTCTGACAATAAACTATTAATCACAGATAGTTAGACACACGATTAATCATTCATTAAGCATGTAATTTAATGGTTCATTAGCCATCGAAGCCCTTCTGTCTCTCGCGTAGCTGTAGTTTAAAATTGAAATTGTACAGTGGAAACAGAGAGATTCCTTGTGCCAGTCTGGTGTTGATTCGACGCTAGATGTATATGCAATACGGGGAGAGAGAATGTCACAAGAAAAACTCATATACACTAGAATACAGGGAATCTTTGTGGGACCTGCCTGCATGTTGATTTGACGTGCATGCTAGATGTGTGGAAGAGATATGCGTTGTGCCCGTAATGCGTTAGAAAAAATCCATGACCACGATCTCCTCGACCACAATCACATTTATCCCCTTCACCTCACAATTTTTCTTCTCCACATTCTCCTGCCGTAGGAACATGCTCGCTGCTAGACATGACAGACACGAAATGCATAATGGAGACAATGTTTATAAAGTTTCAATGTCACAATTTGAGCATCACAGATCAAAATCAAGACCATGTTCATAAAGTTTCAACATCCATTCTGAGCATTTTATTCACCATACATATATACTTTTCACAATATGCACATTTCGAACAAATTAGCATTTTTATTCTTACACATTTACTGATTTACGCAACCATACAGGCATACACGGGAACTAGCAAAATAGATTCTAGGCTTACTTGATGATATGATCATTAGTACCCACACAAGTAAGTACGTACTAAATGTCCCTGATAATATCCTTAGCTGCTGTCAGCTCAACAGGCAAGAGCCTAGCAATCAGCTCTTTGAGAAGAGACGGGCAACTCCTTTTTAGATGTTTGTAACCATCGCTTGCGATCATCCCTTCCAAATTGGACGGAGAAGCAAGGAACTCGAAGCAAGCCTCCTTGAGTCCATGGTAATTATGCTGCTCAGCCAAAACCAAGCTAGTTGCAACCATGTCGGAATCGATGTGATTACACAATATCTCCTCACATATCAGCTTGAGCCTCGCAATGTCGTACCTATCTGCCGCTACAAGTAGATGGCCAGCTGTTGCTATATCTTCTTGCGTTGCGCCTTCATCGGTTCCTTCATGAGTCGTCTCAGGGAGTGAGTCCGTGTAGATGAAATGGAGCAAGGACTTGAACACACCTGCTTCTATATCATCAATTTCAATATGATAGAAAATTATCTTTTTTCTGTACACATCAAAATAAGTCATATTTTTCTACGAGTTTTTGCATGTGCACACGACATGAGTTACATCTTCCCGCAAAAAAACATGAATTACATCCAACAATTATTTCATAATTTTAAAAACTCCAAAAATATAAAAGAGAAGAGGGTGAATATGGATTGTACCAGTAGCTAGTTGCTAGAATTACATTCCAGTTGCTCCGTTTGCCTCACAGCATGTGTGTGACATCAAACTCAGCGATGTCGTCTCCTCGTCCTCGACCACGATCACGTTTGTCACTTTACATCACAATTTATCTTCTCCACATTGTCCAGCCCGTAGGAACATGCTTCCTGCTAGACATGAGGGAAACGAAATACATAGCCACACCTAGCTGGACGCCCCCAAACTATCAGGGACGTCCATGTGCAGTAATCCTTTCAGTTTAGCTATTTCTCAACATGCAGTCCTTCCCATTTTAGAGAACTCTCCTCCGATTTATGGAATTCTCATTATGGTGTCCTTCTCATCATGCATAATTTTCCGGCATCACAGATCAAAACTGGGACCATGTTTATAAAGTTTCAACATCACATTTTCAGCATTTTATTCAGCATACACATATAATTTTCACAATATGTATGAACATTTCAAACAAAATAGCATTTTTATTCTTACACATCTACGCAACCATACATGCATACACCGGAACTAGCAAAATACTCCCTCCGTTCTAAATACTTATTTGTCGTGGTTTTAGTTTAAAATTGAACTAAAACAACTACAAGTATTATGGAACGGAGAGAGTAGATTTTAAGCTTACTTGATAATACGATCATTAGTACCCACACACGTGAGTGCGTACTAAATGTCCCTGATAATATCCTTGGCTGCTGTCAGCTCAACAGGCAAGAGTCTAGCAATCAGCTCTCGCAGAAGAGACGGGCAACTGGTTTTTAGATGTTGGTAACCATCACTTGCGATCATCGCTTCCAAATTGGATGGAGAAGCAAGGAACTCAAAGCAAGCCTCCTTGAGTCCATGGTAATTATGCTGCTCAGCCAAAACCAAACTAGTTGCAACCATGCTGGAGTCAATGTGATTGCACAATATCTCCTCACATATCAGCTTGAGCCTCGCAATGTCGTACCTATCTGCCGCTACAAGTAGATGGCCAGCTGTTGCTATATCTTCTTGCGTTGCGCCTTCATCGGTTCCTTCATGAGTCGTCTCAGGGAGTGAGTCCGTGTAGATGAAATGGAGCAAGGACTTGAACACATCAGCTTCTATATCATCAATTTCAATTGGATCACCGGATTTCTCCCTCATGGCACCAAAGAGCTCCGCCTTGAAGACCGGCGAACGAGCGGCGAGCACGGACCTATGAGCCGAGAATATCTTGCCACCAACTCGAAAGGCCACGTCTGCTCCATCCTTGCTTTTCAAGAGGTCACCGAGCTGCCGATGCAAGTTGCTTGGAGGAACCACAACAAACTGATTTGCATGTGTCTCTTCGCTACGGATCTTCTTCACGGCCACATCACACTTGATTCTGAAACTATCGCCTCCTAGATGCACCGAACCTTCCAAATCCTCATGCTTGATAAAATCACCGAAACCCCAATCTGAGCCGCTGAATGGAAACACATGTTCTGGGGCCACTTTGATGTAAGAAGGCACAGGTTCTCCACCCTTGTCAAGGATGCTGAAGGTGACTTTGGCCTTCACGCCCTCGTCACCAGACGAATCAAGAACCAGATACACAGATATGTAACCAGGTTTGTCGTTGCCGTTTGGGTAATACTTCACGACCCAGTTATGATCTCCCACCATGAAAGGGACGGATGTGGTACAGTCGCCGGCCTTGAGCAGCTCCTTGGTTCCTGAGTACCCATCTATGTTGATCACGTGCGTCCTTCTTTCTTCTTCGGCTACAATGGCGGGCGTGACTTTCCGACGCTTCGCCATTCTGGGGTTGGGCTACGTCTGTTAACCGATCTGTTTCACATTCAGAAAGAAAAACCGAAACTAGTGTAGTCTCGTTTACCTTCACGTGGAGACGTCGTTAATGTTGCATCGCATTCCCGTGCTCTGCCATTTTTGCATGAAACTAAACTCTGCCCGAGTCCCACCAGCGTGGACAGAGCGGCGAGGAGGAGGCGGTCGACGTCGATCCGGCCGAGCCGATGAGGAGGAACGCGAGCGCGGGCGGGGCCGGACCGGTGGAGGATGCGTCGGCTAGGAGCGACCCGCGGTGAGACGCGGGTGAAGGCGTGAAGCGGGGAAACGAAAGAGGAGGCTCGGAGGTGAGGCCAGCACGGCGAGATCTCAGATCGGGAGAGATGTGGGGGGTGACAGAATTTGTAGATAGGAGGTCCGGGTCGGAGAGATCGATGTGTGCGCCGGCAGCGTTGAGAAGATGAATGTCTTTTGTTGATGAGCGCCGGCCGGCAGCGTCGACAAGAATATATCTTTTCTACTGATGAGCGCCGTCAGTGTCGAGAAATCTTTTGTTTTGTTATTATTAAGGGTTTTTATCATTTCTGCCGCTAGTTGTGTCCCATTACTCAGTTTTGCCATTAGAAGTTACAACAACTCAAAAATACCATCGATTCGTGACATGCTTGCTCAAAAATGCCATCATTCCGTTGGATGTTTGCTCAAAAATGCCATTAGACACTGCTATTTTCACGCCAAACCCGTCGACCATGTTATATGACAAAAATAAGCCTAGACCCACATGTCAGTTCTCTCTATCTCACAATGATAAGTGTGGCCCCACTTGTCAGGAGTAACCAAGCGAATAATTTTACAGGAAAATAAGAACGTTGTTGGGAACAAGTGGACCCCACACTTTATTGTAGTGAGATAGAGGGAGAGCTGGCATGTTGGTTCATAGGTATTTATGTCATTATAACATGGCAAAAGAGATTTGAGACCACAATAATGGTGTCCAGTGGCATTTTTGAGCATGTGTCTAACGAAGCAATGGCATTTTTGAGCAGTTGAAATTTCTAGTGGCAAAACTGAGTAGTGAGACACAACCGGTGGCATAAATCACTACCGGAATCGCACCCTATGCCGACGGCCTCATCTATGCCGACGGCGCCCGTCGGCATAAATGGACATATGCCGACGGCCAAGGGCAGGTCGTAGGCGTAGAATAGCCGTCGGCATATGTGTATCTATGCCGACGGGGGCCGTCGACATATTACAGCCGTCGGGACAGCTCGCGGTACGCCTACGGGGACCGTCGGCATAGAAAGGGCCCACCTACCCGATTAGCGGCGACCGTTTGACGGCGTCAAAACTACGCCGACGGGGGATAACGGCGGCCGTCGGCATAACTATGCCGACGGCTAGGCCATCGGCATAGAATTGCTAACATCACCGATCCGCGCCGTCGACACGTCATCGATCCGAGGGAGTGAGGGACTGTGGTGTGGCAGAGATATGCCGACGGCATAGCTGTCGGCATAGTCCTAGCCCATGCTATCTGCCACATCATCAATACGCGTGCAATGCCATGTCATCGATCCGTGGGATCGTAGCTCCGTGTGCGCAGGGCCGTCGGCATACCTTTATTTTTTTATTTTTAGTTTATATATTTATTATTTTGTATTTTTTCACAACATAAATGTGCCTTATCTAAACAAAAACATGCCCCGATGGTATATCGATTGCCCCCCTCACGGACGTCACTGCCGCCGTGTCACGGAGGGGGGAAACGGTCGACATGGAGGGAATCTGGTTAGAGGGGGGATTCGGGGTGGCCTTCAGGGTGTAGCTATGCTACCGAAACATCGCATGGGTCCCGATGCATGTGTGAAAGTGTTCTGGCATGCGTAGACGCCCGTCTTGGGGCTCCATGGTGTGGCCCCCTCCACGGAAGGCAGAGCCGCCGTCACTTAGAGGGGGGAAGGTGCAGGTGCGGTGGAACCGGAGGGAATCTAGTGTTGGGTTGGGTCCAAACCGTGTTCGGGGATGTTGCTATGGGCTGACCTATCGCAACCAGGTGGAAGAGTCCATCGGTCAAAGCCCGCCCGGCGAAAGTCAAAGGGCTAGATCTACTCGTCGACTAGGATTCGGGGTGGC